GTCAAACACAGTCAATATCCGTATCATTACTGATCTTGACTACATACTACAGTCAAACACTATCAATATCTGCATCATTACTGACCTCTACTACATACTACAGTCAAACACTATAAATATCTGTATCATTACTGACCTCTACTACATACTACAGTCAAACACTATAAATATCTGTATCATTACTGACCTCTACTACATACTACAGTCAGACACTAACAATATCTGTATCATTACTGACCTCTACTACATACTACAGTCATACACTATCAATATCTGTATCATTACCGACCTCTACTTCATACTACAGTCAGACACTATCAATATCTGTATCATTACCGACCTCGACTATATACTACAGTCAAACACTATCAATATCTGTATCATTACTGACCTCTACTACATACTACAGTAAGACACTATCAATATCTGTATCATTACCGACCTCTACTACATACTACAGTCAGACACTATCAATATCTGTATCATTACCGACCTCGACTATATACTACAGTCAAACACTATCAATATCTGTATCATTACTGACCTCTACTACATACTACAGTAAGACACTATCAATATCTGTATCATTACTGACCTCTACTACATACTACAGTCAAACACTATCAATATCTGTACCGCTACTTTTATAGGATTTTTATTCTCATATCACCCTAATATCCATAGGACACAACATTACAATTTTTGTGGAAATATACATTAGGTCTACTTACTCAGTGGCGTAGCCAGGATTTCATTGACGGGAGTGGGGGCAACTTTACCCTATTTTTTTCGAGGGCACTACCCTCTAAATACACCACTGTAGTTACTTGTACAAACGTAGTAATATTATGAGACACATTGCATAAAATGCAGGAATTTATTTTCAAAACTTATTCTCACACAAAATACCCTTAGGATCGTTTGGGGAAGTTTAGTCCTCAAATGATTTTGAATACTTGTAATATGGCTGCTTTCCAATTTATTATCAAGGTTAAAAGTAAATTTCGACTAATTTGTAATTAAAATCTATTGCCGAAAGAACAAATGAATATAAACCAAATTTCATACAACGCGGAATAGATAGGTTTGAATTGAGAAGTATTCAGCCTTGAACCATGAACTCTTCACAATCGGCCTTGACATTTATTTGTAAACAAACACGACATTTATTTTTCAAAAAGGGAATTTTTGATAAAAATGATGAATATTTGATTGCAAAATCGTTATTTTAAATATTTTGGTAGTTTTTAGCAATTTTTTCCAAAAAGAATATCAAATCATGAATTATTTTATTTACCACGCCGTGGTAAATAGCTGTAAAGGTACTTATGGCTATTTACCACGCTTACCACGCCAGTGGTAAATAGCCACTGCCAAAATTCAATGTTTCGTTTCAAGTTTTTCTGCATGTGACGACATCACATGCAATCTATCATCTGACGAAATTGTTATTTCCTTATCTGATTCATTTAATATGCTCTATTCAATAAAAGATCTCTTACTATGTGTGGTATTGTCGGGTGTTTATGTTTAGACATCAACTTGTATTATCTTAGTACTTTTGTTTAGATTTGTAAGAATATGAATATATTTTGATGCTATTCCTCAGAATAAGATTAAAGGAAGAATGTTGTCAGATCATGGTTAGTCAGTGTGATTATTAGCCAATGTTATTTTCATCTTTTTAAACCTTTTTATGATTTTATCTTCTGCTACATTTACACTTACAGCTTGTGGTTCAGAATGGTCCACGGGCTGTACTAATGCCGGTTGCACATATAAAGCGAGCTGGACCTATGATAGCAGTAATGACGAAATAAACTTTGTTTTGGAAAGTACATCAACTACCAGTTGGTTGGCAATCGGATTTTCGGATGATCAATTGATGGTAAGTACAACAATTGGAAACCAGACCTCTGCCTTTGTGTTTCTTACTTTCTCGTGCGTTTAAAATGCTCAAATTGCCGATGGATGCCCACGACACAATAATAGTAACGTTTTATGAAAGTGGGCCCGAAATGTGTTCATTTGATATATGTAATTAAGTGGTAGTATGTGCCTATTTAATTAGTATATTTTCAAATTTCTATATAATTGTTTGAAATCAGAATTGAAATTAAAGGCTATGGCAGAATTATAAGCCAGTAAACGAATATTCTCTCCATTAATCTTAAAATAAAAACAAAGAATGATTTTACAATGTCGAAAAAAAAAATTGATGAATGCTACCAATGTACCAAATGAAATTTCTGGTCATTTCAACTTAAGACTTGCAAGCTAAGATAACTTTTTTTTATTTAACAGCCAGGTTCTGATGCCTTTTATGGATTCTATGAAAACAATCAACTTATTGTCAAAGACGCGTGAGTATCCAAGACCTTTGAAAACCTTTTTGATGACATAATAATGCTTATATTGATTAGATTAGACATCTTATTCCGAATATTCTGCAATGTTCCTGTGCCTCACACAGACCCCAATTTCAGGTGCAGATTTGTCGAGCTTTAGAATGACGTGTTAACTACATTTATCTAAATGTAAATGAAATGGGCGTCAGAAGTTCATTTGAAAGTACTTGTGGTAGTTGAAATGAAATTCGACCAACATGTTTTAAAAAGAAAACCATCAAATTGTATAACCCTTATTAGAAATAAATTCCTTGTTTCTCGATACAGACTATTCACGAGGTTACTATTTTAATACTTATAGATATTTGGCAGCGAAACAAACGCCAACAATTGATGGAACTCAGAATGTGGTAGTTGTCAATGGCGCTGTTACTAATGGTATTCTGAAAATAGAAGTAAAACGAGCAAGAAACACGGGTGATTCAGCTGATAAGTCATTTACTGACTCTGATTGTTACTATTTTCTCTATGCAATGGGTACAGTTAACAGCGGTTCAATATCATATCACTCAAAAAGGTGGATCTCAACAGAGAAAATATGTATCAAAGCATGCGCTAGTAAGTGTACGATTAATTTCATTGATATTTCATAATATCATCGGAACAACAGAAACAAAGCAATTTCAGGCGTGTCCTGAAAGAGACATATTTTCTTGAGGTTGATTTGGGCCTTCAATATATGTAAAAAGTCTTCAGAGATACAAGTACTGTACGAAAATCGCATTAATCCCTTCAAATAAACCTAGATAAGATAAATATATGTGTATATTATTGTCGATACGTCCATCCGTTCTTCTTTCTTGTAAATACGTTAGGGGCTACACTTTTCCTCCGATCTTGATGGACCTTGGTATAACTATAAATATTGATAAGATCTTAGTCAAGATTGAATTTGGTTAATTTTAAGTAAATGCTTTGTGAGTTATTGTCCAAAATTTGGCTTTCAAACACACAGATTCTTAAATGATTATCTGATCTAGAATAACTAGTATATATAGTTGACCAGTCTTATTTATCTTTAACAATAAAGTCAGTAGGGGCCTATGTAGTAACTACCCCAAAACCAGAAGGTGAAGCTGAGGCAACAACAGAACCAGAATCTGTACCAGAGAGTAAGTTAAGACCATACCGTTCAATGACAGTACATAATTTTGTTTAATCTAGTACCGTGTAGTAGTTGAACAATCTAAAACAAAATAAAGTCGGTAGTAAGAATATTGTCATTTTGCCTATAAAGTGTGTTTGTTTTTCATAGCCCCGGAACCAGAAGTAACGTCTGAACCTGAAACGGAAGGAGAAGTAACGTCTGAACCTGAAACGGAAGGTGAAGTAACGTCTGAACCTGAAACGGAAGGAGAAGTAACGTCTGAACCTGAAACGGAAGGAGAAGTAACGTCTGAACCTGAAACGGAAGGTGAAGTAACGTCTGAACCTGAAACAGAAGGTGAAGTAACGTCTGAACCTGAAACGGAAAGTGAAGTAACGTCTGAACCTGAAACAGAAGTTGAAGTAACGTCTGAACCTGAAACAGAAGGTGAAGTAACGTCTGAACCTGAAACAGAAGGTGAAGTAACGTCTGAACCTGAAACGGAAAGTGAAGTAACGTATGAACCTGAAACAGAAGGTGAAGTAACGTCTGAACCTGAATCGGAAGGTGGAACAAAAACTTGCCAATCACCTTTACCAGAACTAGGCTATTCGAGTGGAGGTCGTATTGTTGGTACCAATGACCGAAATGGAAGTAAGAAATATCATAATATTACTTTCACACTAATAACACTATAGATCAGAAGTCATAAGGTTTTGCGGAAGGGTGAACATGTTGCCCTACACTATTGACACCCTCTTTGCTTAATTGGGAATGTGACTTATTTATAGCCCCGAATGTTAATTTGTCTTATTCACACACATTGATTTGACTATTGAAGATGCTCCGCGTTATGGAATGGATTGTTCAGATATTATTGTGGGTACAGCAAGAGGTGAAACAAGTAGAATAGGTGATTACTACAGCCGCGATAGATCCACACCTAAACATGATAGCGTCTATGGTGGTGAAGACAGTCTAACTGCAGCTTTAGGCTTTGAAAATGATGGTCAAACAGTGATTGTATTTAGGAGAAAAGTTCAAGGTAGTTAGTTAAAAATACAATTATATGCTTTTAAGTGTTCGTACATGATTAAATCACATTCGATGAATTGGCTGGAGATCAGTTAAACACTTGAGCAAATCATGAAACACGTTACAATCTCTTGATTTACACCCAGAGTGATGATGAAGTATCATTTGTGTCTTTTCGAGATTTGGGAGATTTCAATGTTGAGTCTCAATAATATAGTAGCAACAAAAATGCATCCCGTTCCTCATGCTACAGTACTTCAATTAAATTCTTTCGACATGATTTTAACCAAATGATTTTCAGCATTCCACAGATCTGATCACACTATTGAAAAAGGTATAATGAGTGTGATTTGGGCACATGGACAAATAGAAGATAGTTATAGACATAATCCAGAATCTGGTGATAAACCAGGCTTTTATGCCAAAGATCAGCTTCTCTATCATGGTGCTAGCCCCAACAGAGGAACTGCAAGTATAAACTTCTTGGGTGAGTACAAGCAAGCACGTTTGGCCTCTGACAAAATTAACTGATTTAGGTAATTACGACGTATCCAAGAGTAACTACACAGCATAGGTTAATGTCTCCGGACCGTGTTGGTGTGCGTATCCCGTGTTTTTCAGGGCCGCAACAAGAGTCTTTCTTTCGAGAGGCAAAAAATCTTGTTTTGAAGCCGCCAAAGGCTCCCGCAGCCCAGAAACTCTAACCTAATGATATTAAATCCTCGATACCGGCCATTTCCAAGTACTGATCTTTTTTCTAGTTAAGTAATACATTTTTTATGATTTAATTTTACTTCACTGTATTTGGTGCATATTTGATAGATTAAATAGTCCAACAATATACCTCAAAATGCCTATAATCTTTCAGCTCTTATGAAATAAGTTTTTTGACTTCTCTTCTTATTGGGATGAAAGTTGGTATTCTACGTGAACTGATGAGTTCTCAGATTGATGTTGAAGTTCACGATATTCGTTCGTTTGTTTTCGTCGAATTTGAAAAATGTGGTATTGGACAATAGAAATCAGAGGCTGGGTAACACTCATCATAATTGATGCTTAATGGGACAGGTGTGCCATTTTGGGAAGTTGATTTTAGTCTTGAATATATGTAAATGGTCTCCAGAAGTACCAATGTACCAAAATCACACAATTCATTTAAAAATACTTCAAACTATGAATTTTACTCATTATTTCTATATATCAATGAGTATCTTAAATTGACGAGTAGTCATTTTAACAGTCAATGGCAGATAATTCTGGACACACATGGTTTGAGGCTCAGATTTCGTCGGTGAGCTGTGAACACTATTTCTCATTAGCTCAACTAAAAAAATCCAATTTCTGAGACTAAAGTATGATTGGTCAAAGAAAAGCATATCTGTCCCTTTAACTGCCGCCATCGACGTAAGTTACCTTATCTGGTAAGATAACTTTAGTCATTGTTTATTGATCTTTTTCTTGTACGGATAACAGAAAGTGCCCGAGATCTCAGTACATCGTGTAATGGTAACTGGCCTACTGAATGTGATAACTGTGACCTGGAAGTGTCGTGGGTTTATAATGAAGACACGGATGATATCAGTTTTACAATGAAGGCAAGATTAAATGAAGAAAGCAAATGGATCGGTGTTGGATTTTCTAAGGATAAAAACATGGTAAAAAAATTTAATGGCAGCTTTCAGATGGTATTAAAAATATCACTGCAGTCTCCTTCTTATAAAAATATTGCCTCAATCTCTTGATAGAATAATTTACGATTTTCTTCTGAATTGTACCATTTTACACATCTATTTCATGGTCAATTTTCACTGTTCTGGAACATACTTAATTTAGGTCTGAACTACATTCGTCCATCATAGTTACATCATTTAGATTTGTTGATTAGAAATAAACATCCAACAAATTAACTCCCCCATGAATTATACCTCACCTTTACCATCCATTCTTATCTTGTTTAGGCTAATTCTGATGCTATTATTGGCTGGGTTGATAATGGTCAGGTGCACGTCTCTGACAGGTAAGTAAGCACTTCCAATCGTATGAGTGTGTGATTTTTTTTTAAAGAAATTTCCATGCAGTCAAAGATCTCCAACCACGAAGCCGTACAAATGTTAAAACAGTAACTCTGAATAAACTTTTAAATTGTATCGCTTCTTCAGAGTTGGACGAGACGAAGGTAAAAATGGAAGGCATACATTCTAAAAGTTTTGAATTCTAAATTCATTTAATCTACATGTGCTCTAGGACAATTGGCAAGTCTGTGATGGGATTGTCAATCATTATCTCTTATTACCATTGATAATGGCACCTTTTTCTTCCAGGTGGATGACTGGGCAAGTTCAACCTCAGAAAGATGCCAAAGACGATATTAAAAATAAACGTGGTATAGTTGAAAATGGTGTAACCACTATAACCTTTGATAGAGCAAGAGATACCGGAGATAGCAGTGATTTGGCTTTCACTGATAATCAATGTTTGTATATGTTCTATGCTGTGGGTGGCGGCTATAAAAGTAGTGATGAAAGTATCACGAAACATGGAAATACACCAACAGTATCATCTAGTAAAATCTGTATTCGATCTTGTGATGTTGGTAAGTTGATTATGCTGAAGATTTTGTCTGATTTGGAACTAAAACTTAAGCCAATATCACTGCCAAAATAAACCAAGGACTTGATCTAATAGTTCGGTAGTTGGCTGAAAATTTGTGTGACCAGATTCAAGATCATAACTTCCACTATACCCAGAGTAATAATTGTTAAGTAAGCAGCTTAAAATACTTTTGGTGTTGGACCTCATAAATACTTTTAGTTGAATCCTTCAGAATAACTAAGAGACATGAATCTTTTAAGAATAAAGTTGGGAATGCGCCCCACTTCCACCGTATCCCCACTGTTTACTACACTTAAATCTTGAATTTCATGATAAATATACGTATAAAGAGTGCCCTCCTCCCCATCCCCCTCTACAAACCCGGGATCGAAATCAAAGCTTTCAGCTGAAAGTGACAATATCTGATCAATGTTGCCCCGGAACCAAATCTTCAAATGACGCAGATTTCGGGTTTGATTCTCCCAGATGTACAAGATAAGGTCCATACTGATAGATTTTATCTGCTATACTTACAGTTGCAAGTGGAACAAGTTTAATATCAACGGTTGAAGTTACCTTTAATAATCAATATGATTCCAAACTGAGTGATAGAGCATCTGATGAATTTAAGAATTTAGAACGTACTATGAAAGAATGGGTGAGTCAGAGTTTTATCAATTAGCTTGTCAATTATAATTCTCCAATATGAATATATGAGAAATATGAATAGTATCTGATAAAATGAAATAGAGTCTTTCATCTTTCTTTACTAATCCATAAAACAATGCCATGTTCTCACAAAATTCTTTATTTTTGATTTCATTTATTTAAACAGATGGATATGGTATTCAAATCTCTCCCTGGTTATCTGGAAACTAAAATTCTTCAATTCAAGTAAGTTCTTTACTACTTATGAATAAAACAGTACATTGATATCTAATAACTCAAACTGTTCAGTGATGTCATTGACTAAACATGTTCAGTAATATCTAATGACTCAAAATGTTTTTGATATCGAATGGCTCAAAATGTTTTTGAATAACTAATGACTCAAAATGTTTTTGAATATCTAATGACTCAAAATATTTTTGAATATCTAATGACTCAAGATGTTTTTGAATATCTAATGACTCAAAATGTTTTTTTTTATATTTAATGACTCAACACATGTGATATGTAATGATACAAAATGTTCAGTGATATGTAATGTAATGACTCAGCATGTTCATTGATACCTAAGGACTCAATATGTTCAGTGATATCTAATGACTCAAAGATATTTTTTTGACATCTAATGACTCAAAATGTTTTTAATATGTAATGACTCAAAATGTTTGTTTTTTTATGTCCAATGACTCAACATATTCAGTGATATGTATTGACTCAAATTGTTCAGTGATATGTAATGACTTAACATATTCATTGATATGTAATGACTGAGCATGTACAGTGATATGTATTGACTCAAAATGTCCAGTGATATGTAATGACTCAAAATATTCATTGATATGTTATGACTCAAACTGTACAGTGATATCTAATGACTCAAAATATTCATTGATATGTTATGACTCAAACTGTTCAATGATATGTAATGACTTAACATATTCATAGATATGTAATGACTGAGCATGTTCATTGATACGTAACTACTCAATTTGTTCTGTCATATGTAATGACTCAAACTGTTCAGTGATAAGCAATGACTCAATATGTTTAGTGATATGCAATGACTCAATATGTTCAGTGATACGTAATGATTTAATATGTTCATTGATACATAATAACTTAATATGTTCAGTGATACGTAATGACTTAATATGTTAGGTGATACATAATAACTTATATGTTCAGTGATACATAATGACTTAATATGTTAGGTGATACATAATAACTTATATGTTCAGTGATACGCAATGGCTTAATATGTTCAGTGATACGTAATGACCTAATATGTTCGGTGATACGTAATGACTTACTATGTTCAGTGATATGTAATGACTTAATATATTCAGTGATACATAATGACTTAATATGTTCAGTGATACATAATAACTTAATATGTTCAGTGATACGTAATGACTTAATATATTCAGTGATACATAATAACTTAATATATTCAGTGATACATAATAACTTAATATGTTCAGTGATACGTAATGACTTAATATCTTCATTGATTTAATGACTTGATAGGTTCAATATTAAGGTTAATTTTATGACTCAACAGGTTCAGTGATATATAATCAACATGTTCAGTGAACTGTTATGACTTATCAAGTTCAGTATTGAGGGTGAGGATATGTAATGACTCAATAGCTACAGTATTAAGGGTCACAATATGTAATACCTGAACAGGTTAAGTGATATCTAATGACTCAACGAGTTCAGTTGAATCAAAACGTCATTGATATGTATTGACTCAACAGGTTCAGTGATTTGTAATGACTCGACATGTTCAGTAATATGTAATTACTCAACAGGTCCAGTGATATCTGATGAATCAGCATGTTCAGTGATATGTAATGACTCAACATATTCAGTGATGAATAACCAGATGACCCTTGTTGGGTGATGGATTCTATCTATTGAGTTTGTTGTTAAGTGACCTGTAATGACTAAGATTGTTCATTGAACTGCAATGACTCAAACTTTTCAGTGACCTATGACCTGTGATGAATGGGATGAACTCCCGTGAAAATCAACATTTGATGCCTGGCCCTCAAATCCGTACGTCACATCTGGGGAACTAGGTAGGGTCAGAGTAGTCAGCTTACTTGTAACCTCGGACTTGAATATCTTATGACTCAACCGGTTCAATAATAACTTAACCTGTTTGTTGAATTGTTATGACTCAACCTGTTGAGTGACTTCAATCCACTCATCTCAGCATGAAATAATGATGAGATTGCATTCAAATGATTTGCAAAAGTATATCGTACCTGTTTTTTGTATTGATAGACAAGGAAGTATCATAGTGGTAGCTGATGTAGAATCTATTAGAGATAGTGACTCAGTGTCCAATAAAGCCCAGTATAAAACAGATATAGAAAGTCTATTACAGAGAGGTCAAAGTTCGCCTCCACAAGGCTATACTATCACTGGTTTCAATGTTGGTAACCCAAGATCAGGTAGGCCTTTATTTCTATAAAAAAATCCTATTTGAATGAATTAAAGTAGCACTTGAAATTGACATGAGTGGGTTCTGTCTTTTAGAAATACAACTTTTGATTTTGCATTTTGCCATTTTTTTGTACTCAAACTTGATATAGGGTTCTGACATATTTAAATTTAGAAGAAATTGCACTGCTCATTATGCAGTTGTAAAGTAATTGTCATTATTGGTCTTCTCTGGTAAAGAAATATCCGCATTTCCATCAATTCAAAAGATGGTTTTAAATTCAGGAACAGAACAATGTCATGTAATTCTACATACATATTATAGACCAAAAAAGGTATTTCAGTAGATAAATTCTGAGATTATCAACATTTTTCTTTTCTTTTTTTATAGTTCAAGCTCCTAAACCATTCCGTTTAACACTGATCGAAGAGATTGTAATTGGTCTTACTGTATCTTTGGTGATTGTAATTGTAATAGTGGCTGTCTGTAAATTATCAGAAACACAACGTGAAAAGAAAAAGGCAGCGGCATCAAATGTAAGTACTGCTTCTGGAATTGGTCAAGAACATTGTGAACATACCGGTATTAACATTTAATATATTATATTGTTGTGCTAGGTGGGCATGTAGGCAGGGTTTAATGCAGTATTTTTAGCATAAATGCTTTAAGAACAACTTTAGCATCAAAGAGAACAAAGCACAGTATCAGCATCAGTGGCAACTTATAGACCAGATACAATGACAAGCAGTATATTTTGATTGTCATATATATGTGTAGCTCAATATCTTGACCAAATCAAAATGGCTCAAATTAAGGATAAAAAATAAAAAATATATGCCTGTAAGAGCATGCATGTTTTGAGATGTGAATTGTCCTTTTGTCTTTCAGAAACACCAGAGGTTTAATGGAGACAGCAGTTCAGGATCTAGTACAACCAGTTTATCAAACCAGAAACCAACTCTGGATTATAAGATGCCAGCCCAGGGATATACTAATGCTGGATACAATACTACATTAAATTCCAGTAATGGTACCCAAAGATCAACTATCACTTATGATGAATTCATCAAAACAAAAAATATTCCTTAAACTATTGGAATATTATTTTTGTTGTAAGAATTGGCTCAATTATTTTCATTTAGTATAATTTTTTGAATTTATAACATATTTATTATAAAAATTACTTTTATCAATTAATATCTATCTCTATCTTCTGATAAAACTAATTCCACATTTTTTTTAACTGAGGATCTAACATATGGTTTATCTTCAATCACATACGAATTGACAAAAGTTTGTAAGAGAACTGATATAATCAATATTAGATGAAGTTAGATGTGACATCAGATTTTCAATTTAAAAAAATTGTACCGCAAACTTCAGGTTAAATAATCAAATTTATGTTTATTAATGATTAAAAATTATTTAAAATAAAAAGTCCTTATGTAAAAAAAAAGGCATTTTTACATTTTTCAATTGAGAATTTAGACAAATGTCTTATGTGTTCAGGTAAATTCCAAATTACTTAAATTGTGGTAATATAATATATTTATAATATTCACATAGTTTTTATGCTGCTAATTTTCTGGGTATTTATGTATTCTTTTTTAGCATGACTTTTTACATTCACATATATATATCGGTCAAACCTTCTCATCTATATTAACAATTTTACCACATCTTCTATAATCATATAAATTTACGTAAGAAAACATTTAGTGATTCAAACTATATCTGTGTAAGTTGTATGAAGTTACCAATCGTGACAATAGAACAATTACTTTAATATTGCAATTACCTCAGTATTTGTCCTGGGAAATATCTTGGCAGTACATAGAAATTTAGAGAGGTTTCAATTTTCATATGTATGACCCAAGAATAATTTGATTGAAATAAAAATCCATACAAGCAAAATTTCATCAATTCAATACTATGTAGTTAGAAGATTAACACATCATACTGTTTACAATATTTAGCAACATGTAATTCAGTCTATTGAGTGGTCAGGAATATATTGTAGATATTTGTTAATTAAGAAAAAGCAACTTCATATTGGCTGGTCCAATGCAACTTTTTCTTAACATGTTATTATGAAGCTTTTCATTTTTTTACTTTGTAAATATAAATTTCAATTATTATGGTCACAATAAATTTCAAATCATCACAAATAAGGCAAACTTAGACTCTATTAATTTGGTGTTGATGTATATATGGCTAATTTTGATTATTACATAATGACCATCTTAGGTAAATTTTTTCCTTTTTTAAGAAACTTTCCATGTTCATCTATTGATACCTCAGCTAAGGATAATTTTGAAGGAAATTATTAAAATATGATTAATATATAATAAGTATAAATTAATTCATTAATATAAAGTGATGTCCAAAAAACTAACTTAATGACAGAGTGGCATCAGCTTTTTTGAAGAGTGAATGTGCTTTATCTCACTTTCAATTCCAGTTAACAGATGAAACCATTGTTTTTAAGGTTTAATCTTGGAAAATAACTTTTTTTTATTTGATCAAAGAAATCCTTTATTTAATTTTTTGATGTATTGTATTTATATTAAAATATAGTTGAATTCAACTTAAAAAAAATAGTTGTTCTTATTTTTTGTAAAGATTAATGATAACCCATTTTGTTTTCCCAAACACAATTGACCCATTAGCAAGATGGTCTAGATTACACAGTGGAACTCACTGATAAAATCATGCTTTAACCACAACAATAACTGATAACTGATAATAACTGAATAGCTGATAACAATGCAGCTTTGAGTTCAACTTGAAAGCTGTAAAATGCTTTCATACAAATCAGTTTTGATATAATAAGCCTTCATACACAAGATTCATTGATAAAATAAGTTCTCTACAACAAGATTCATTGATAAAATAAGTTCTCTACAACAAGATTCATTGATAAAATAAGTTCTCTACAACAAGATTCATTGATAAAATAAGTTCTCTACAACAAGATTCATTGATAAAATAAGCTCTCTACAACAAGATTCATTGATAAAATAAGTTCTCTACAACAAGATTCATTGATAAAATAAGTTCTCTACAACAAGATTCATTGATAAAATAAGTTCTCTACAACAAGATTCATTGATAAAATAAGCTCTCTACAACAAGATTCATTGATAAAATAAGTTCTCTACAACAAGATTCATTGATAAAATAAGCTCTCTACAACAAGATTCATTGATAAAATAAGTTCTCTACAACAAGATTCATTGATAAAATAAGTTCTCTACAACAAAATTCATTGATAAAATAAGCTCTCTACAACAAGATTCATTGATAAAATAAGCTCTCTACAACAAGATTCATTGATAAAATAAGCTCTCTTCAACAAGATTCATTGATAAAATAAGTTCTCTACAACAAGATTCATTGATAAAACAAGCTCTCTACAACAAGATTCATTGATAAAATAAGCTCTCTACAACAAGATTCATTGATAAAATAAGCTCTCTACAACAAGATTCATTGATAAAATAAGCTCTCTTGAACAAGATTCATTGATTAAATAAGTTCTCTACAACAAGATTCATTGATAAAACAAGCTCTCTACAACAAGATTCATTGATAAAATAAGTTCTCTACAACAAGATTCATTGATAAAACAAGCTCTCTACAACAAGATTCATTGATAAAATAAGCTCTCTACAACAAGATTCATTGATAAAATAAGCTCTCTACAACAAGATTCATTGATAAAATAAGTTCTCTACAACAAGATTCATTAATAAAGCTTTCTAAAAAAGAGATCTAGAAAATGAGAAAATAGTATTAAAACTTGACATATCCGAGAAAAATCCATTATTAATTCAGAATGGATGTATTTAAAGGCAGGACAATATGATATATTTAATATACACATTTGATCTCAATTCAAAACATTAACAGTTTTTAGCTGACTTTTTCAACCCTTCAATATTCCAAAACACGATGACACACAATCTGCAACTTTTACAGCTTTTTATTTCATAAAACATGTTTAATAGATACCAAGTTTAGACCCTTTCATCAACTGATTCCCAAGGATACTCAAGACAGGGCTTAACCATGGATGGAAAGGTTGAAAAATCTTAGATCAAACTTGAAACCAAAGCCTCTGAAATCCATTGTTTGAACAAATGCCCTTCAGTCCAGTTCTTCATCAATAATGCAAAATGGATGACTTTAAAAAGTGTTAAGGTTAGATTAGTTTTTTAAGGTCTTGATTCTGATATAATTGTTGCAATGACAAGTCAAGGCCATAAAAAAAGATTATTTGTAAAGTGCCTTTAACAAAAAGAAAATACAAAAATTTAAAAATTTATTGATTGCCATAACAATTAGAAGATACAAAAGAGTGGAATGGTAAGGAATATGCTAAGCCTAATTCCGCATTTCATTTTTCAGCATTCCAAATGCTAATGATTCAATTTTTGGTCTACTAATATTAAAAACTTGAAATGCAATAAATATGAATTAAGGCTCAGCATTTCCCCTAAACATGTATTAATCATAATAATTTTATCACAGATTTCAAAAAGAATTAACAAAACAAAAACACCTTTTTTATAAATTTCACAAAAAGGAATGTGTTTTTATGGATTCAAAAGAACTTCTGGGTAATGAAATGTCTGCGAATTTCCAGAGCTTCTTTGTAAGATGTTTGTCCAAAATTGTCCATCAACACTTATTTTAGACAGATGTTGCATATCTCTGTTTAAAAGTAGCAGAAAGAAATGTGTTTTTGAAATCTTCTTTTCAGCTCTTCTTATTTAAAAGAAGTATGAAACATTTTCATATTGGATGTCATAATTTTACAATGTGACTGAAAGTATATAGATCTTAAAATTACATTGGAGGCAGAGAAAATTCTTTAAATGCTTGCACATTCAGAATTTCATCAGAAACATCCCTTCTGAAATTCAGCTATGATCCTCACACTATCTGGTTGACATCTGTTCAAAATTACAACTACAAGCCACCAAAATCTTTTTGACTTCAGTTAAACATATATATACATACATTATCACAGTAATACAATTGCATTTGATTGAAAAGAAATTTAAAATTTCATCTCCAGAAAAACCCTTTTGGAATGCAATATAAGGAAAAATGTGCATTTTACACAAAAAACTATACCAATCAACAAAATTTTCTTCCAATAAATTGTTTTCATTATCTACAAAAAAACCAAAATACGAAATTTTGGAAGACATACATCACAAATTGGATCAGTAAAAAACACTGAAAACATTAAAGAAGTGCTATAAATTGATGACCAAGGGTGAAAACAAATTAAACAAAATGACTAAATTAATTATCATTCATTCATGATCTTGTCTCAAAATCAAGGATCTGATCACTAAAAGATGAATAAGCTTAAAAAATCATAGTCTCTTACATTACCAGACGTTCACAATGTACTTGCTTGGAGTATACAAGATACAAGTACAAAAGACCTTAATGCTAGAGTGGGGCTCCCATTCCTCCTGATTCTCAGATGTAGATGCTTTAGTATGTAATTTCAAATAACTTTCCTAGAAAAATTCCAATACCTTCCAAACTCATACTATTGGTGCTCCAATTGACTTACCCAACATCTTGGGAAAAAGGACAAGCGTCATCCATTTTTGGAAGAATCTAAATCTGTCAGATGTAATGCTGTGCCATTGGATAATTTTGAGCTGCTTTCTTCTGATGCTTCCTCAATCTCCTTTTGATCAAAATTGTTATTCTTTTCCTCCACAACTATTTTTGGCATTTCATGTAGAAGAATACTTTCATGGTGGGGTGAATTTTGTCGTCTGCTTGATGAGGTTGTTTGTAAAGTTTGCTGATTGAGAGCACGTGCTTGATTAATCATTGTTTTTGATGTTTGAGTTGCTTTTGAGTTTTCTGATACACCTTGAGGAGGTATGCTGTTTTGATAAAAGACACTATCATCTAGATTTTCAGTTAATGGAGTCTCATAAAGGTTCAAGCTGTCCACAGATGAAGTCCTGCTGAGACTAAGGACGCAGTTTTTCGTTGAAAGAGGCGAGATTTGAGCAATGTAGGCACTTAATGAATTTTTATTGTCAAAACCACAAGGTAAAATATAGTCTCCGATTTCATCCAAAGCTGTTTGGAAACTTGCTGACCGACTGCTCCTCACAGAAAGGACTGAATCTTCTGTAGGTGTAATGTGGTCCAATGTTGTTGTATTTCCTGTAGCTTTAGTTATCACAATTTGTGGCTGTAGTGTTGTTTCACTTATATATTCTGCCATAAAATAATAAATATACCGATACTCATCCTAGAAAAAAAATTAAAGAAATTAAGAATGTAATTTGGATTCTCAGAATGTGTCAAAACTTTCAGAGTTTTAGAGGGGAAGTCCTTGATTTGCATTCACTATATGGAATGACTCTAAGTCAAAATTTGGTCAATTTGCGGAAAAAAAATTTAAGACCAGCTTTGTAGGTTGAGATTATTGGTTTTGACAAGTGTCAGGCCACAGAAGAGAAATAGGGATACATACTATTGTGGAAACTAGATGAGGTCTATTTCTTTTGATAATTCTTACAGCATTAAAAATATCACATTCACCATCAATTTTCACTTGATTACAACAAATATTGACGGCTGTATAGATACCACATCTATTGCAACCATCTCTATATAAATATATACAATTATCATTAAATATATCATTAAATATCAAAAACAGGGCTACACATTCAGCATTATCACAAGTTCCAAAGAAATTATCAAAAATCAGTAAAAGATCGCTCCATTTATGCAACTATTGTCAAATTCATAACAATAATACAGAAATTTGACAAAGATGAAATACAGGAGTTTCCATTGATATTTTTATCACTTCATCCTACTTTTTTTGAAACAAATCTAAGGTATCAAATACATCATCAAAACATTCGGAAAGCAAATCAAATATCTTTGAACCGAAGAAAATATATCCATAAAAAAGAGACTTACTTTGATAAAATACAAACTGGTGTTGAAGGATTTGTCTTTTGCTGCCAATCATCAACACACTGCATGACATATAGTAAAGATTTATGGGACATAGTAATTTTAGCTGGACTCATACCATTGGTCACTTGAAACATTTTTACTATTAAATCACTATCTTTTGGCTCTCTTTGGTTGTTTGGAAGAATCTATGAAAATATTTTTACTTTTGATACATCATTGAGATCATTTTGTACATAACTACATGTATATTCTTTTTTGGAAATATTTTTCATAGCAAGATGGCAACTAATGCTAGTTTTGATAAGGAGTGTCCCTATTTTATTCAGTTCTATGTTATTGTATATTGTATATACATTTTGGGGAAACTAATTTTTTGGTCCATGAATAGTAAATTTGTTGACTCTCAATGAAATCAAAATCTTTCATGAAATCAAAATCTATTGATTCTTTACTAATATCAAGACCTATCAACTCTTTACTAAAACAACCTATGGAATGTTCAATCAAATCAAAATCTATTTACACTTCAATCAAATTAATTCATGGACTCACCTTGTGAATAGCAAAAGCTCTTATAATGAGTTCAGGGTATTTGCCACAACCTAAATATCTCACACTAATAGGACCATATCTACATTCTTCATCCAATTCTTTTGGCCAAAACTTTTGGAATCTCTGTCAGTAAAACAAAAAACAAAATTTAAATACATGTACAGTGGTATATACAGCATCTTAATCTTCAGTTGGACATGACTGACAAATAGAGCTGAAATCGCCTCTCTGATTTCCAGTCATGATCAAATTTCAAGTCTGCTTATCTAAATTATTACATACCACACAATATTTTGAAATAGATGAATATATTGCCTTGATAAATTTACAAGTTATTATTCTTTTTACTATTAAAGGTACAATTTGAGAGACTAAAAAGGCTCTGGTTTCTATGACAGCTGAAAAAAGGTTTAAGAGTACAAAGCACTGTTCAAGAGGGACATTTTTTCAACATAGCACCAGCAACTCTTATTGCTTTCAAAATGCCCAGGGAGAACAGACTGTACTTACTCTAGTAAATTTGAGATCATTCAACACAACCAATGAATTTATTTTATAATCATATAGAAGTCTCCAAATATCATTCAATGTATTTTTCTTTGGCCACTGTGTTACTAGATAGGCATTGATATTAAATAAACCCTGAAAACAAAAACAAGTTCATGACAGAACCATTTCATTATATGGGTTCGTAAATTCAAAAATCTTTCAGGTAAATGTTTTGGCAATAACTTTAAAAGAGCACAATTCATTTCTAATATCTCTAAATATAGGCATGCCTACATTCCAGCTGATCTAATATTAATCATGTATTGTCTGTTTCATGTTCACAATGAATTGTGAATAGACAGGGGAGATAATGTTATCTCATGTTCCTTAAGCAATGGTACGATTATTATTCAAATCTAACCATTGCTTGAACAATCCCATATTCTCCTCAATAAAGACTAATAATCTCCCTTAACAGACCATATGTCACCATGCGATATATCCAATCAGGAATCTCGTAATATTTGGAGTAAAAGGAAGGTGATTGAAAATGGCGGCCTTCATTGAATCATCTGAAACTGTTGTAGATTCACACCAACCCACTTGTTGATCAGTGATTGATGTGAAACTTGACAGAAAGGTACTTACACGTGCCCTTAATATTCCTAAAATATTTCAGAAAATTCTAATGCTTCCTTTCATTTTAAGTTAATTCTTTGATCCCGGTAACGACGAAATGAGAGGGGGCATAACTCATTTGTGTAGACTACTTGCTTTGTCATGTCAATGATTTGCAAGTCATTATGAATAAATAAGAATGTTATTGAAGGAGGTGTAAACATTGAGGATTTTTTTTTCATTCTCGCTCTGAAAACTAACAAAGCTGTTTGGCACTATGACAAGAACTTAACCATGAACTTTGAGATTTAAAAGAAAGTAAATTTTTTTTTTTTCAAAATTAAATTCACGACCAATCAAAATTTATGACAAGGATCGTGATGATGGGATCGTGAGAGCAATGGCTAGATGATCATTATCATTTACCGTTTCTAAAGGAACATAATTTTATCTATACTCACATCAACATATACAGCATTAATAAAATCATTACCACTATCATTAGTATCAGCTGAGAGGTAGGGTCTGGCTCGTTCAGCTTGAAATATGAATTACATAATGTCAATGGAAACATGATCAAAATGAATTTACATTTATATTAAATGTATGATTTATATAATTTGTACCCTATTCAACAATAGTTCACATAATGCAAAGAAATAATTTTGGTTTGCCTATGTTTACTTTCAACACATCTGAAGCAACATCACTTTATCTTAGCCTGGTATATCTAAATTACTACATCCTTCCATATATTACATATTAGGACTTGTAGCATCCTTTTAATTTCTTAATGAATGATCAATTCATTTTAAACTATTGATAGTAGAAACATTTGCATGTAAAATTTTAATTTAAATTATCCCAAAACCACTGTATTGGTTACTTCCCTTGAGATAAAAACTTTGAAACCAATACTTACGAGGTAACATCATTATATCTCTACTTTTACATCTATTTTCTACTCTATGACCACTAGCACAGTCTCCTATAGATAATGCTGGTACAATATATTGTAATACCTAGTTAGAAAACATTTATTGTAAACGTAGAGTTGACAAATTAGGTCACCAGGAACCCAGTGGTAAAGATTTGATATCTGAACCCAGAAGTAAAGGTTTTGATAATTGAACCCAGTGGTAAAGGTTTGATAGCTGGACCCAGTGGTAAAGGTATGATATCTGGACCCAGTGGTAAAGGTATGATATCTGGACCCAGTAGTTAGGTTTGATATCTGGACCCAGTGGTAAAGGTTTGATATCTGGACCCAGTGGTAAAGGTTTGATATCTGGACCCAGTGGTAAAGGTATGATATCTGGACCCAGTAGTTAGGTTTGATATCTGGACCCAGTGGTAAAGGTTTGATATCTGGACCCAGTGGTAAAGGTTTGATATCTGGACCCAGTGGTAAAGGTTTGATTTCTGGACCCAGTAGTTAGGTTTGATATCTGGACCCAGCAGTTAGGTTTGATATCTGGCCCCAGTTTTAAAAGTTTGATATCTGGACCCAGCAGTTAGGTTTGATATCTGGCCCCAGTTTTAAAAGTTTGATATCTGGATCCAGTGATAAAGGTATGATATTTGGACCCAGTAGTTAGGTTTGATATCTGGACCCAGTGGTAAAGGTATGATATTTGGACCCAGTAGTAAGGTTTGATATCAGGACCCAGTTTTAAAGGTTTGACATCTGAACCCAGCAGTTAGGTTTGATATCTGGAACCATTGGTAAGGGATTAATATCTGGATCCAGATTTGAATGTAAAGATTTGATCATCTCTTATAGGTCAGTCACACCATAGCGTTCTGGTCAACGTTCTCTGAACATTCCAATCATTCAATTTTCAAGCTTTCTAGGGATAGGTGGACACATCTGACGTATGATTAACGTGTGCCTAACGCATGACTAGCGTGTCTAATGCACGCGAAGCGTGTAACAGGGAGCAAGTAAGATACCCTTGAAAACCATTAGCGTGTGCTAATGTGCCACATGCTCAAAACTTTTTTTCCGGATCAGCGTTCTCAGCCAATTCCCGACGTTCACACAACACTCTTCTGGCGATATCCCACAGACGATGGGCAACTACCAAAGTTTCCTCAAACGTGATAGAACGCTGACCAGCATGTCACGGTGTGACGGCCCCATTAATAATATATTACCTGAAATTCTTGATCTATTTGCAGTGATCTACTGTTTGTAAAGCCAACTGGAGTTTGGAAATGTAGATCAGCCACAGGGAAGACTGTGTAATTACAATTAATATACATAGCTACTGTATCATAGATTAAACCATATTGTCCCTGAAAATACCATTAAATATATTGAGACAAATTAAGATAGTAAATCTGGATACCCTGATAATCCTGCTTCACATTATTCTTTCATTCCTTAAAACCATCGTAAAAAACAAAATGCTTTGTAGGTTCACTAGTACTTACCAATGTGCGCACCATATTTTTTCTATATCTTCTAAGATGTAAAACAGCACCATAAATATCAACTTTTTCTTCAGTTTCAACTTGTTTTAAACAATAATCTATGGCCAGAAATACAGCTGTTCTCCCTCCACCACATCTGTAATCACAAAGATTGAAACCATTTTTCCTTTAAACTTTTTTTTTTATCTTTCTTTTATAAAATTGTCTGGTTGTCATATTATCAAACATTAAGTAATAATATGATAATGAACATCAAGATTTCTAGGTAAGCATTATCCCTTTACCATCCAGTTGTGACAATGATAAATCTTAATTGGTACCAAGACATTGAACACTGAAGTGTCTGGGAATGAAAATTCCAAAGGAGAAACTGTAAAAGAGCTATAAATTGATAGTGAGATGTGAAAAGTTGTTGTTTGGATTTCAGGTTTCGTTTTGCAGTTTGGATCGTAAGTACTTGGTTTATTAATGTGATGTCACATTTCATAGTTGTTTAGTTAATATTTGAGAAATGGACCAATGGGAAATTCAATATCTTTCCATCAAAATAAATACTGCCAGAATTGATACTGAAATGCTACAGTATGTATTTTATTTGTTCTGTATCCATTCAGATTTGTTCACAAGGTTGTGAGGAATTTTGGCAAATTGGTAATATTGGTATATCCTCTGTGAAATGTACACAATATTTTCTATTTCAGCCAGTTCTATTTCAAGGTCACACATAAAAGCTAATTCTATGTTTTTATAGCACTTAACACTTTCGGTTTTACATCATTTCAATGACAGTATTAAATAGACTAGAGTAGGAGTATAAAATTGTTACCTGCAATGGACTAAGATTGGTCCTAAACTTGTTGACATAAAATGATTGACACGTCTTCTAACATCTAAAATGTAACCTGGATCAGCACACTCATTGTCATGGAAACCAACCATTTCAAATTGTCTGATAATCCTACAATCATAGCTTCCTTCCTGCAATATAAACAAGCCTTACTTACAGAGACTACATTATATTACGTTTTAATTCCATTTGTCAACCTGAAACCAGTTAGCAGAAACATCATCAATTAAGATGTTTGTATAAATATATACCAGTACAAATAACCTCAACAAGCTGATCACATTGACAATATAAAGAAATGATATTTCTTGAAATTGTCAGTGACTCATCCAGATGAGTGGGGGGCCCCTTCCCCCCGGGAATTTAACATTATGCTCCCTTGCAATCTGATACCCCTCTTTATGTCAATTTAATGAATGTTAGTGGAAGATTCAAAGATTTTCAGTATGTAATATATAATATAGTCCTTGGTCAGGCCCTAGCTAAAGGTTGTGAACTACTTAATTTATATTGTGTTTTAGATACTTACTTTGGTACAGTTTTGTTTAGGGTGGGGGCAAGTGGACTTGGTTCAACAAGTTTTTATGGTGATTGAGCCACAGGAAATTATCCAACTTTTGAACAGATTGCGTGATCAAATTAAACCTTAAGAAAACTCCTAATCCTTCCTTCATTTAAGTACCAATCTTACCTTTTGAATACGAAATGTTCTAATGTTTAAATGAGCTAAATGTACACTTGCTTCAGTCCAGATGTGAATACTACCATGTTGTACATATTTCTTTACACCAGAATAATCCTCCCAATACTTATCACATTGTTGCTAAAAGATGATTACAACTTATAAATCAAAATTCTATTTGTTGTTTACATATCAAGTATATTATCATACTCATATATTCATACTTGAAATGAATTTTAGATTGATAATACTTTGTCCATTAGCAAAAGAATTAAACCCTTCTCCAGCCTTATAGTGACCTATCACCTACAATACGGAGTGATCATGCCTTAAGTGAGATCATTTCTTAAAACCCAACAACTATTTTGAATCTACTATCTCCTCAGTGCCAGATTTAAAGAAATAAAGGCATATACCAACTCTTCATTCAATATGGTAAATGGTAGTAAAGAAGTCAATCATAAAAAGAATCTAACACAACACCGTAAATTGCTATTATGAAAACAACAAAAAAAGATCTTAATGAAGATTTAATAATTCATTGCAATCAGAGACTTTATCAAACTAGACTGACAATATCAGAATTGATATTTGGTCAATGAAATTTCCATATCCATTATATTGCATGTCTTATACAGCTTAGACAATGAATTTTTTTTTTCTCCATTAATTTGATTAAAAAAGAACGGCATATAATCAATAATGTTACTTACAACTGCATTTTCAAAAAGTCCTGTTGCCATAACGATACAATGTATTCCCTCTTGCCATATCATGTGCCAGAATTGAATAATAGACCTGCTATTAGGACCTGGAAATGATGAATAATGAACGGATTTCTTCACCTTTGAATTGAGGAAAGAAAGAAATAGAGGGAAATGTCTGATAGATCTCTCAGATTCAACAGTAATGAGTTAAAAATAAATCCAAAATGTAAAAACATTTCAAATAAATTATCTTAAAGAAAGCTTGCTGGGACAGAAAAAGATACTCTCAGAAAGCAGATAAATTTGATTCTTACCTTGTGATGCAATATATTCTTTTGAAATACAGTAACCCTGAAATAAATAGTTTCAAATAAAATTCAACAGCTTTAAATTTATAGTGAAATAATTTTTCTACATTTTTGGAAAATACAGACATCAGCAGACCTATTCAGATATAAAAATTGTGATATCCAATTAGCAATTGTGCTTAAGCAGCATTATTTTATGCCACAAATTCCATACTGAAACTTAGAATTCCACAATTCCCTGAAGATGATCACCCCAGCTTTAAATAATAGAATTAGGTGTGGTATTGTCTTTCCTGATGTTTTCCTGAACAATTCTATTCAATAGCTATCAATGTAAATATTTACTCCATTAAATCAAGTCATAAGTGGTATTTTTTTTTCTCTAGAAACAAATTTTACTGTCCTTCTTCAAATCCAAACAACATGGTTCAGACACAAGTTCCTGGAACGCCATTGTACGATATGTTTTCTTAGAATGGATTTGTTTAGAAAGTAAACATAACAGTCTTTTTAGTTCTTATTTAATGTTCTACATCACTCATTGAATGTTGTATAGGACATAAAATAACATAAAAGGGAGGAAGGAAACCTAAAGCCTTTTGAAATACTTGTTTAAACCTTTTGCTGCTAAGCTGAAAGGCAGTTTTGTTTCAATCAATAGGATTTTGTACAAATCTGAGGGCGAAAGTTAAATATGTCAAATTTCTTGCAGTTAACATTAAAGATAGGAAATGATCTGGTGAACATAAACTTGCAGGCAATCAACAATGAAATAAATTGAAATAGTGCTTCTGTCTATCTGTCTGTGTCACTGAGTTGAGCTGGCAAGGAAGGACAATGACGAAGCATGGAGAATATAGGATTGTTTTATTCATATTTAGTTTTTAGTACCACTCTGTTGAAAGTCAACAGAAACATCATACTTACATCCACATAACTGGCATTGACATAATCATTGTTCCAACCTTTTGGTACATCATATAGTATTACTCTACTGTGGTCATCTGAAAAATACAATTGTACAGTGCACGATATGTTTGTTGCAATTCTTTTCCTGTGCGTACCAATGTAACATGTAAAATCTTTCTTTCACCAAAACTAACCATTTTCTTTATAACTGCATCAAACCTGATAAAGCACTACTCTTAAATTTATTAAATTATTAAACTTGAACCAATCTGAACTCCTTCCAAGTGCTACAATAACTGACTACTAGTTTGCCACAAAGGCTGAATTATTTGTCTAACTACCAAACCTGAACTACTTCTAAATCTGAACTTTCTCTTCATTTCCAAAATCTTAACTAATAATTATACCTAACCTGAACTGCAAGAATAACCAATTTAATCGCAAACTGAACTACTAATAATTCTACAAAAAACTCAATTATACATGAATGGGCCTACTATGAGAAGTAATTCATTACAAGATTCTATGATTCTTAATGCTCACAGTACAAAAACTTAACTGCAGCTCATCACTGAAAGATTAATGCAGCAATCAGAATTTTGTTTTTCTCTCCATTTCATTTTACTTAAAAACTTATACCATCATATATATCATATAAGAAACACAGTGTTTACATTTTTATATTTTTCACCACATCCATGATGCATTGTAAATATATATATGTTATATGAAATTTTCTGTGTTTTTATCATATATAGTATTATATATTTTTAGTATATAATTCGTAGTTTTGTGGGGAAACATAGTGATTACATTTTCATATTTCCTTCCTCATCCATGTTACATTGTAAATGTTTATATGTTTTATGTTATTTTCTGTATTTTTATTCTTTCTGTAATCTTGTATATAATATGTAGTTTAGTGGGACCTATTGAAAATTAGACTTCTGTCTAAATGGGTTGCCAAATAAAGTTATTATTATTATTATTATTATAATGTTATGCTCATTGAAGTCTACCTCATCTGATACACTACTTTGCACAGGTTATCGAGAGAATTAAACATTCACTCCTTTAATTCCTCTCTTCAGCACCCTCAAAATTTCACACAAGAAGATGTAAAAAAATGTGCATGAATAGAAATTAAAATCAGAAGAACTGAACTGCACATGATGAATTGGATTGGAACTAAAAGGTTACATTGTAATTTAACATGACTTGTGTAGCAGAAGACTGATTACTGGAATTTTAAAATTACATTCAACAGCAGTTTTATTAGAGTTTCTTCAACCTTGAAATTGTTGACATTTGTAATCATTGCTTTGGTTCTTGTATTAAGGAAGTAGGGTGATTTAACCTGCAGAAAGTTTCCGAGTTGTTAATCTCATCGTTACATCAGGTTGAGGCCATGTTTTTCGGTTTCATTCAAAGTGTTACAAACAATTGGAGTGTTATTAACAAAAGCTCTGTTTTGGACACAATCATTACCATGGTCCTATGATTTTCTAATATTGGCATATCAAGCTAATTCACTGATCAGTCTAAGTGTCAAAATTTCGGAAATTCACACTTCTTTGATAATTCTTTATCAGAATGTAAAAGACTTCTGAAAATAAAAGCAAAATTATCACCATTGTACACAGCATGGCATGGTGCATAGAACTCTGATATAATTTAGTTTTATCTGACTTTTATTTTGAGGATTCACTAAAAAAAGGCAAACTAGTGGAAGCAATTTGAAATCAAGAAGCATGACATAATCTTCTTGTTTTGTCAGAGTTTCAATCAAGTAGAGTTTTGATTAACGGTTCGACTGACATATTAGGTCGGTTGTTTGAGTTGAAGGTAGAGACATCAGTATATCTAGCTAGCAATAAAGTATCAGGTCTATTATTAAAGACTATGGTAATGTCTTAACCATTGACTTTATCCCTAACATATATAGATGAACCATAAATCACATTCCACTCCTTTATCTCAGTAAATCCTGAAACTTTCAATCAAACATCTCCCGAGAGATAAAAACAGATTGCTCTTTAAAGTATCTTCATCTTCCCAAATATACCATGAATCTATTGTTTACAGCAGTCATGCATGTTCCCTGCAAAATTCATGGGTTTTTTTCATCGTAAGTATAGGTGTTTTAACAATTCCGTATTATACAGGATAAGACTAAAATTACTGGAGACCAAAACTGGTTTGAAAATTTGAAACTGAGCCCCAAAACAAAATGAGTTTAGGATTGCTGTTTCCTTTGTGAAAAAATTCATACAAAAATATAATGAGTGAAGAGAGATTAAGTTATGTAGCAATGAACAATGTAGTTATACTACTGTATTGTATTTTTTAATCAAAATGGAGCCACATTCACAATAATACTCGGCTCAACTCAACACAACCCTCCTTCACAATTTTATATTTATCTCAACAAGTACATATATTCTATCAAAAATATGATATTTATATTATATACACAAAACATCAACGATCTTAATTACTGCAGCCATTGAAGATGAGGATGTTGCTTTAATTAAAGTAGAACAAGTAGAAATCAACAAATCATCTGAAGCAGACGACCATTTAGCCATCATGAATAATAGATCAATTTAGTATTAGTTATATTATTCTTACAGACAAAATATAGACTGAATAATATTCCTATAACAATATAATTCTTCAAGGATTTGGATGGAAACCCAATTTTGTGTATAAATGTAATGAAATGAAGTGAGATATCAGTCAACTGAAGACTTGCTATTGCATTTGGCTAGGGCAGCGTCAAAAGTATCCTTATTTTTTTATCACAACCTCTATAGTTAGTTCTCAATTTTCCATCCACCATTGATGATTTTTCCACGTTAAAAGAATATTGTAATAGTATTAAAAGTATGTGATCAAAAGCTAAGATTAAGTTGTGATTCTCAGACACCTTATGTGTAAGATAACATACATGTTTACCATTAGCATTAAATATAGAAAGGCTGAGTGTATTTCTGGTGTCTTGTCGGTCTTGATCTCATTAAATGATTATAAGTGAGGGATCTAGCCTCTATTTTCTTTCCACCTTATCTCATCTATTATTGATACATTTATCATACAATTTCTAATTGAACAAACGTGAGCAAACTATTATACCATTACTGGAGCGTTATAACCTTATCATAACATTTATTGTCCAGCACTGAGTGGTTGAGTGCTAATTCTCAATTTCCTACTGTTTTTAAAGAAAGAAATATAAGATAAGTCTGTACTTAATAAGAACGAAGAAGGGACTTATAGGGACAGGTACAGGATTTACGGGTGCAAATCATACCTTGGGTCTCAGAAACGTGAATTGTACCACTAAGCTAATCTGTAATAGTGTTCACAGCTTACTGTAAAAAATTTAGCCTTCAATCCAAGTGTATTCATAATTATCTATGTTTGAAAGTTATCCCAAAGAGTTGTCACAAACAGCTTTGAAGAAGATGTTCAGTTTCAGACACCCCAATTTATAGAAAGAAGACAAGCTTATGAACGAAATAAATATAAAGTTAAAATTCTTGTTTGAGGTCTTTTTGAAGGAATTATGCAATTTTTGTACAGTTTTTGTAGTTCTGAAGACTGTTTACAACATACATTCAGCCTACCAAAATGCCCCACCCGTCCCTTTAAGTTTGAAATTTAAGCCGTAAAATTTTTGTTGGTTACTGTTTTATATTTGATGAAATAAAACATAGGCTATTTCCCGAATTTCTATTATATTTTTCTTCAAAAAATTCTTTTTGTCTTTTTTTGGGTTATGGTGATCCTAAAAATCATAAAAATCCTAGCTCTGGATTATTTTATGAGTAATTTTAAAAAATAAGTGAATCAAAGACGATTAATCAAACTATAGGTTATTTCAGTTTAATCATAAGTAACCATAGGAACACTTGATATTCAATTGTTATTTATGAAGAGTTCTATTAAATAAATGGAAATACTTTTCATTTCTCTCATATATAAATTTCAGAGAGAGTCCACTCATGTACAGAACTTATAATTTTATTCAATCAGATATAAACAATAAATATTTGGTTGTGGTATTGTTTTCAATTTGCATTTGATCTTATAAAACAATGATTATCTATAAATATAAGAGTTAGCCATGAATAACTGAGATTGTATGAAATATTGACATTAAATCAGCCGTTTATCTGTGTTGAATGCATCAATGCAATAGCATGTAAAATAAATAAATCCATTTCACCAAATGAAATAAATAAAACCCATTTTACCACGTAAAATAAATAAATCATTCTATATTAGTCATATTAATTTGTCAATAACTGTTTTAAGTTTCATAGTGCTAAATAGAAACATTTCTCATCTTATTTTAGTGCATGTATTGCTGATAATTAGCAGAAAAGGCTTCAGAAAGATCAATATTAACGCTATGAATGTTCTATAAGTGTGTGAATGTGGTCTATATTGCACCCAAATTATCCTCACTGGCCATTTATAGATATCATCATGATTTGTCATAATTCAATTTGAAAAGTATTTTCTTGGTGAAAACAGAAATATGAATCATTCAATGCTGTTTTTAACCAATTGTATTCACGCAATGTTTTTCATGTTTTAATATCATCTTCTCAAATATTGCCAGTGTGACATCAAAACAAGTTCAAATTATCTTAAAGATCAGGATAAAAAAAGCAGCTTCAGATTAAGACAAAATTTGTGATGAACTTAAAAATAAATTATTTTCATATTTCGTAATTCAAATTGTCTCTCATTTCCTTCCAGAATATTCTCAGTTCAAAGTAGAACTTATCACATAAAATGACATTTTATGTGGTAACGCCTTGATAATGGAAGGATGCTGAAATAAAATGGTCACAAAGGGATAATTATGGTAAAAGAATATTACAAATTCAACAAGTAATTTCATTTTAATAATGGCCATAATCTCAGATGGTGACATAGTTCTAAAAATGCCGTTAAAATGCTTATTGTGAATTTCTTTTCAGTAGCAACTTTACATTCATGCAAATTCATATCCATTACTTAAAATTTGCTGATGCACAAAGAAAATTAACCAATGATGTACAAGATAGGAATAAAGAAAATAATTAAATGAATCATTTGTTCTTGGAATGTTATTGATATTGACAGAGCTGAAGTTCCTATCTTTTCTAAGATGACATGTTAGTTACCCTGCAATACAAAATGACCAACTGTTTCTGTTCCAAAAGTTTAACACTTATTCTTTGTGAGTGCTACAAGAAACATTAGTAACATGTGAAAATCAGAATTTCCTTCAAAGCAATGAATCAAATCTGTTATCTTAAGGCAGCTCGCTATAACAATTCTATAAATTATTAGGTCAGGGGGTCCACTAAAAGTCAAAAAATTGTCAACCGGGACCCACAGACATGTACAATGATAGAATAATTGATAAAGGGGGGAGAGGCAGACAAAGTTTAATCAATATTAGGGATATATTCAGGCTTTGTTTCAGAGAACATAAAAACAATTTTATGAAAAAAGTTGGTCAATGACTTGAGCCTTGTCACAATAAAAAATTGTGTGACATTATTCATTAATTCTCACTTAAATTGATAAAAAAAACAAAAAAACTCATCTTTTCGTCTGGAAAAGTCAGGTTAAAATTTCCCCTGTTCTTATTATTGATAAAATTTCATAGAGAGACCAGAGGGAATACAACTCATCTCCATCAATGGCCAAATATGTCATTTTGAGAGAATTTCGGACAGGATATAATGTCAAATTGATATTCAATGTTTTCATTTCTCTTTCTACTCTTGATCATTCCCCTTGCGTCTTAAATCATCATCATTATGATAGAAAGTAATTCAATCAAACGCTTGCCCAATATAATTTTCTTTACAATTCAATAGTCACACAAATAGCCATCCCAAGCCTCAATATTATATTTAATTATTCTATTCTAAAATTAGAAAGAAATTATGTCTCTTTATAAATGGGAATTTGAAATATGAGTGTTGAAGCAAACTGATCTAGATACATGTATTTTTTGTTTATCTATGTTTAATACCAGTGTATTGGATTTTACCATTAAAATCAAATTTTTAATTTTTGAGTTTTTAACAAACAATCTTAACTAGGGATTAAACAAGACTTAAAATATGACAACTTTTAACTTAATTTAAATGAGGTATAGATATGGTTTTTCAATTGAAAGATAATAATTTTCATGTCCATTTGCTTATTATAAAATTTGCTTCAATCCAAAATTAAACCCACAACTATCTATGTAAAACAAAAATAGAAATATAAGATGATTAAAACTAATCCTTTGTGTACAATTTGCAATCTATTCAGTATGAAAATAACATGAGACAATTTTTTTAATCTCTAATAAAAAGCCACAATTTCAATAAATATGGTGAAAATAATTCATCAGGTGTATGTAAAATACATACAATGATGTCTGGAAGAGATTTTACGGCATAAACCTGTTATAAACTGTTAAGGAGAACAAGTTTCTAGATTCATTGCATGATCAGAGTCCTTCATACATGACATCACATCATGGATAGATGATAATAAAATGGTGAAATTTCAAGTGAATGATACTTATCTTTGTTTCAATGGTGATATTTTTAAGAATACACAATACTTTTGTCTGAAAAAAGTGATTTGTCCTTTCAATCAGGTATTTTGGACAGTTGAAATTCATTTAAAGACAGTCTATATGGTTGTAACAATGTGTAAGAAAGAAAGGCAAGAAGGCTGTGTGTGTGGTGAAATTTTTGAAGCCACCATAATTTACATAAATTGATATTTTGTAAGTTTTTTTGATGTATTGGTGACCTAATCCAAAAACGAAAAATTAAAAAAAAAATAAAAATAATAACATCCATATGATAATTTCAATACCGTGCTGAAATTTGTCTCATTTAAATCAGGATTGTGTTGTATTTGAAAAGATAATGTAAATCACTAAACGTAAAAATTAAAACAAATATAAATTCATTGCAAATAAAAGAGAAAATAATTACATCTCATCTGACATTGATAACTAGAAATTAATTAAGAAAAAAAAAGATTGATATTGGATGACTGACTAAATTGATTAAAAATAAATAATTAATCACATTGTCAAAGAAAGAGGTAAATTTGATTTTGTCATATACATACATCAAAATTTCAAAATGGTTTTCAGTTATGTTCTTAAAACTCTTCAAAACTATGGTTTCCATATACGCCCTTCACGGCATGCGGATGATAAAAACGAAACATCCATTTTAAGTTTCATCAAAATCGGTTGAAAACTAAGAGAGTAATAGCATATTCAAGATTTTGGGGCAAGGGCAATAACTCTGCTTCTAACAGTCGAAAATAGATCAAATTCGAACTTGATCTTCGTTTTATGAATATGTATACACAATCCGAATTTCAAATCTAGTTTTTAGAGCGTTTACAAGCAAATGTTGATGGACGGACGGACGGATGGAGAGATGTGGGCGTATAAAAATGAACCACTGAAAACACAAAATATTAATAAATTGTAATTTAAGAAAAAAAGAACAATTATTTCGCTTCAGATAGATATAACAAAGAAATTTTGGAATAATTTTCAAATGTTTCATTCAGTGCGCAGGACAAGAGTTAAATATCTATGGGTGGATGAGGTACAGTTCAAATAAAATATTCTATTAAAACTGAATAATTCATCACAGCCATAATTAAATATATCTATGAGATATAGCCTAATAAATATTTGTGAATTTCATTGAATATTCAAAAAATTCACAATAATTCTAAATTAACAAATTTCAACTATTTCAAATTCCCACAGGTTTCCACATAACACAACAGATGTGTCGAATTTTGAGACTGGGATCTGATATTTTAATTATACCTAATCTACTACCTAATACACTGTGGGAGAGGAATTTGCATATAAATAACCCTTCAGATATTTGTCATCTATTTATTCTAGCAACTAACTTGACTTAACTAAATATAATAAATATTGTTCTTGTTTCTGACCTAAGCCCATGATTTTCATGAGAGATACCTTCTCATTTCACACAAAGTATTCATTTCAATTTGAATTTACAAAATATTTGTGAAATTTTTTCAATTATGTTAACCCAATGTTCTTCTAAAATACTGCAGTAGTGGTGCCTTGTATTCATTATGCTTTGCCCACTGTGTTTGATATTGCCAGGTAAAGAAAGGAACAGCTCCTTATCATTTGCCCTTTTTTGGAAACAAATAGCAAATTCACTCTACTGTCAAAATATTTCTCAATAAAACATTAAAAATAATTTCTTAATAGGAGAATTAGTAATCATCTATCCCAAATTATAGCTGGGTCAAATAGAATAATAAAAAAGATAACTCATTTGACCAAGGCTAGATCCCACAGCCACCATCATTTTTCATCTGCTGTTTTTTTTTGTTGTAGACAATCTTTACACTGTCCTTTCACATTTTCAAGACCATATTGTACCACTGAAAAATCTAACATCTTCTGGACTGTTAATCATCTTATAGAAATTCTTTACAAATCCATCATCGGCTCGATTCTTAGGGGATTGAAAATTTGCAGTTGGACAAAAGCGTATTCCTGACAATACCATCTTGTCATAACTAAATAAACAAATTATCAGCTTTCAATCTCAGATTTAAATTCTAAACCATTTTGAATGGAAAACACATTACCTGTCAAACCCAGAAGACACAAAGCTATTCAAAATAACAATTCATACTTAAAAAATCTCATGCATTACAAAAACATAGACATGCTGAGAGGCAAAAATTCAAGAGAAAAGAACTAAACTTAGGCTCTGATTGATTGGAATTAATTGACTGGATCTCATCAGATCAGTTGCAGTTTCAAGACTCTCATATTGAGATAATTGACTTAAAGTAACTGTAATCATCTGGTACAATGCAGATTCCTACTTCTCAAATCAACAATCAGATTCAAAGACAGCTAAATACTAGCAACTGATGGCAACTAGCAAAAACTAATTATTTCAGTTACTAGTGTGGTAAGGTTCTTCAAAAATGTGGCAAGTTACTAGCAATAATTTAAACTCTATGACTTTTTGATAAAAAAAATAAGCACGTGTTTCACCAACATCTGATTAACATTGTAGTTCTGAGTGCCGCGCTCTTCACAGAAATATTTAGCTATGAAATTTGGTTTACATCGAACAACAATAATCAACATTTTAAAACGTAAAATACAATAAAAAGTGTATGTACGGTAGCTCAAAATATGAACAATTAAATAATAGTAACGTATACATTGTCTTATTATTAAATAGTAACATGTGGCACATATGTTAAAAAATGTCAAAACTTTGAGTACTCCGACACTCTCGCTAATCCGAATTCAGATTACGCAATGTCATTTAGAAACATGTTTTACTATAGTGGATATTCTGTGAGTGATTCATGGAGTGTATTTATCATGTGAATTTGGGTAGTAGAAAACGATTTTATGTAAAAGTAGAATATTTGTGTACTTACAGGTTACAACTTCCTGTCTTACATTCATCAAAGAATTGTGGGTCTCTTGAGCAATAGAACAGGAAAAATCTTCTTGGTTTCGCACAATAGCCTGTCAAATATAAAGAATTTTAAAGTAAGATAGAAATTCCTATGAATAAATTTCAATCTAATAACAAGCAGAAGACAACCATTTTTAAGAAAGACTGATGATTTAAGCATGCTTCCTAAACTTCGATTTTCTTTATTATTACATAATCTTGATTTCAAATACTGTAAAAAATGGTAGAGACAAACAATTATAAACCGGGTGTCATTTTGCCGTTTTTACGGTCAGTACCTTAGTAACCGATTGAGTCATAACAAATTAGCTTTTTCTTTGAATATATTGCAGTTAGAAGTTGAAATTGTGGATCAAAAATACTTGTGTTGAAATTGTAAAAGGTCTAATTAATAGTACATAAGTGCATTGCTTATGGAGCCTCAGTGTACACCTGACCCAAGGTTGAGTTACCCTCCAGACTTTTGAACCATAAAAGTGCCCAGCAAACAGAATTTGTGATTTGATGAAAATTGATGTTGTATGCTGCAGACTATGCATTTACAAATCCCTTAAAAGTAAAAATAAAAAAATCGCCTGTTTTCTTTAGGGAGAAGCAGTAACTTTAAAAATGATACTAAAATATTTTTCCCAAAACTATGTATGTATTTATGATAACATCCTACATATTGGACTTCTATATGATAAATATTGCATACAATATATTATAATACAATCAGTGATTATAATGTATTTCAACTAATATTGATTCAATTTTATCTATAAAACAAATTATAACAAATAGACATAGTCAGTCACAGCTGTTTTATACAACATACAGATTGTTGACTGGCAATATGTTTTTTATTTTTACAAATGTTTTTGAGACCAGGTGCTCAGGATGTTTGAAATTCAGAGAGTGGTCATAGGAAGGCTATAAATAAATATAGGTTGTAATTTTTGGTCAAAAAATAGCAATTACTGTTGTCCCACACTTTTATATCGTGGGGTGACCGCTTTCAACCCTGTATATGCCATATTTGGTCATTTTGACAACTTTGGTACCATTCGAGAGGTCGTAAAAGCGCGGATCTTGTGATCAAAACTTCGTATTCTTAGCTTGATTGTAAATAACTCAAAAAGCACTAATTGAATAACACGTATATAAACAGTCAGATTTAAAACCTCGTAAAATATATTATTATACGAGGTTCAATGTTCCTTTTCTGCGGATGAAAATGAAAAACCTCGTATATTGTATTTATATACAAGTTTTTGGTTCAATAGGCCAGAGATTTCAAATTGTTATATGAGGTTTATATTTTCAAAAAATGAAAACCACGTATAGCAGTAAACAAAATAATAAAAAATTTTTAACAAATAGTTAAAAAATACAAATAGTACAAATAGTTTTTTGCGTTTTTTCTAAAAGTAATTCCGTGTCATATATATTGTTATATGAGGTTTCAAGCGGTCACCCACGATATGCTCTTGGGCATCAGCAAACAAACAAATTTTGAGACACACACTGGTCTTTCTAGAGGCTTTTTTAAGGTAAATTTTTCAGACCCCACCCTCACCGAAAATTCTTTGATCCCTTGCTTATTGTATTAATCAGTCAAGTAGTAAAACCAACAAATTGAATGTCAATGCATTCAGTAAAAATCATATGTAATGTTAAGACCTAAATTTATTGGTTGGAACTAATTTCAATATTTTTGTTAATCATAAGACTGTTTGTTCACAGCTGTGACTTGAAAATTAATTTATAAATAGCCTGTAGAGCATATTATGTAGTACATATCTTATGCACTGTAGAACCTCATAAATGTAAATGTGTTTCAAACAAAACTCACAATTAATTATAACAGTTGATTCCTAGAATGGCTTTTTCAATCCAGTGACCCAACCTATACAGATTGATAGAAAGTAATCTATTTTTGTAAAATTTTTATTTCACAACAATGGCATCATATTTTTCTTTCCCGTCTTCAAAAGGTGAACATACACAGATAAGTTGTGATACAATCCTTTTTTCACTCCTGTACTTTCATACTTGAAAATTATAATGACAGTTTGCGCGACTCAACAACGTATTTGGGAAGCTAAATTCATGGCATTTGAACTGAGCAATATTCTGATTCTATGCTCTCATTAAGAATAAGTTTATCTTAGCTACCATAAGAATTATAAGTTAAAAGTCATTATTTCGAATTTTGCATTATTGACTGACATGTGTTAAAATATCTTATTTATATCAGATTGTACAAAAGGATTAGTATAGGGGGCACCAAAATGATTTATGACCCTCCAGTCACTTTGGAGCCACCACACCACTGTTTCACAATTATTTAGAGTTATTATACAGAGTTAACTTTCTTATGTGTAAAGGGACAATGTTAGCACCAATTTGCAACATTTTCAATCTGTGGTTCCTGCAATTCCATGTTTTATGACATCACAAAAGGACTTATATGATATAATCAGATTTTGCAGTAGTGATGTCATAAACCACTTAGATTTAGTTGAATTGCAGACGCCACATTCTGATTGAAAATTGCAATGGTGCAAATTGATGCTATCAGTGTACCCATACATAAAGTTTAAAAACCTCTTTACAATTTCTTTTACATAATTAAGATAAATCAAATCAAAAGTAAAATGTGACATCTACATGTAGATAATATTAACAACATAAAATTACTTGAAAGAAAACAAAAATGATTTATGACATGATATCAGAACAAATTTTGCCTTAATTACAAAATTAAATCTACTTACCCTGACTTCAATATTCAATCTCTTCTCAGATTTCTTCTGTTTTAATACTGCCAGGAATTTGGAAGTTGGTATAGCCTCTTGTACCACTGATGCCACTGCCTTCTCTTCCTTTGCTATAGGATCAAGAGATAAGCCAAGTATTACTTTCAGTTTATAAAACTGATGGCTGATGTACTCATGCAGCTTTTTACCCATCCTAATATGTCCTTTCTGTTTCCAGAAACATCTTTATACACTAATGAAGTCAGGGTTCTTCCATTTTTATATGTTATGTTACAATGACAATAACATTTAAACAATTCTCCTATGAAATCACGTCTGCACAACCTTCTTAAAGTTTTCTGAAAATCTGATTTGTCAAGCATATGTCAGTTAATTATCAAACTCAATTTTTAAAATCCTCTAATTAGACACAGTCTGGAAATTTTAACTCCAACCTCAGAGAATTCACTTCCATCACTCATCTTACCGAACCAACATTCTCCATTGAATTCTAGCATGTCTACAGAAATCTTCCCGATTCAATCAGAAGTTGAAAAACCGATTCACATTAAGTAAGGTTATGTTAATTATTAAATGAGTAAAAATTGCAGCTAATATTTCCACGGAAGAGCAGATGACTGACGTAAATATTATTAATACTCGAGCAACAATCAAACACCAGCTTTGTTATTGATGAATTTTCACCCGAGTTGTGTTATACTCACTCTGATGTGTTAGTAATCTTGTTAGACTAAAACAAGTCAGTTTCCTTCAATTCATTATTAATCTCTTTCCTAGTTAGTTTTCATACTAAACATTCTTTTGAACTAGTTAATGTTGACTTACTGAAGCAGGGATGTAGAGGTAGCCACTTATTTAAAATTCTTTGCTTGGAATAATATTTCACTTTTGTAAGATTACATATTTACATTGTCAGTATTTCAAAATCCTTTTCTACCAAGCATCATTCAAAATTATTTTCAAATTTTGTTTGCGTGTCTCATTCATAAATCCAATAGATCAACAAAATAGCAAACAATTTGATTAACTGAAATACATAGTAGTCAAATCTTCAGTTTGATTTGTAACTAACCAAATTAAAATCTGATTTTTTTGAATAATCTACAAAATTTCATAGATTCATTATATCATTCATCCTTAATATTATGTCACAAATCATCTATTAATTACCACTTGAAAATGCATTTTGATCCAATTATCAATTATAAGTTTGACTCGTATATCTATCCTAATAGAAATCAATCCATTTCATTAATTTTGTTCCAAATAAACTCTGTCACTTAATTAGTATCAATGCACTTAGTTCCATCTTTAGCTTCATTTCTAAGCATTTTTTTTTTTAATCATGTCAGTCCCTTTAATGAATGGTGTTGCTTATTAGAACAGCTTAAAAAGTCTTAAATCCATTATTAGCAAGGGTCTGTCTATGATTCAAGCTATAATATTGATGTGTGAATGTTAGCGAGTTCGGAAGCAGTGTTAATAGTAACATTATAGAATAACTTGATCATGTGACATGACTCTATATCCCATATCTTTTATCCTTTCCATCTTATTTAAAGGCTCATTGCCATCCACCTAGTATGATTGTAACTACAGTAGAGAAACACAGAGCTTGGTGGATTATAATTTGATACAACAAGATATTTCAGTTTTATGGACAGAGACTCCAATCATCACCAAGTTTGAACATGAGCTCTTCTGATGCTGTTGACACTTGTTTTCTTGGCATTGATAATACTGAGGACAATTGTTGCTATTATGAGAGGATACAATTACACTTTAAAGAAAAACCAAATCAGGGTTTCTTTTGGCAATATTCCATCCTAAAACAAGTTAAATTGACCCACAAATTATATGTACTACTGAGATATATATGCATATATTATCAATTCAAATATCTAAATATATTTGTTCAGATCAAACCTGTCCTTTAATACTATTCAAATATTTATGTAAATATTGAACATAATAAAGATTAACCATTATGATATATTCTACATATTTTTGTCATATTTCAGTCTGTCATAAAGGATAAAATAGATTTAACCAACAAAAAAGGAATGCATTCATTATGTGTTTCGGTACATGATGAACAGTAATATTTTGGGGGATTAGCACTCTCTCCTATAACTTAGAGACCAAGTTGTTTTGTCACATAAACCACATTTCTACTGAAAAAATTAAAAGGTGAAGCCTGTTCTGAGCTAATTTCATTTCCACTTCAGATTAGTTTTGTCCATAGGTCAATAGAATAAGGTTTTTGGTGACTTGACCTAAATGTTTTGGAAGTTGATCAAATTGAAGTATTTACAGGCTAGTTCAAACCTATTGCTTATGAAGACTGAAGAAATAAACACCTATATTCTTAATGAAGGTTACATGCAACATGACTTATCATAGATAAAAAAAAATGAAAAACATCCTCATTGACAAAATCTGAAATTAGCCCCTTCAGTTGATTGGTTGATAGATGCCAAGATAATGTCCGCCTCCAGCTAAAGCTGATAGAACAGACAATTAACCCCTTCTTAATTAGCTTTTTGTAGGATTTACTTTAGTCAGAGATCATGCCACTCAAAAATCATGCTCATGTTCACAGGTCAATAGATATTGGTTGACATGTATGTATTATTTCAAACAGAGAATAAATTTGTTGGTCTAATTCATATTTTTAATGGCTTTATCACCTAGAGACTAATAGTGTCTTCTATTGTTCAAATCATAATTACTTTTCATTAAAAAAAATATCTATATACTTGTCACGACTTAAAATAACAAGTCTGTTGATTTTAATGATGGGATGCGAAAGGAATGTTTACAAAGCCATTAAAACAAATACAAGTATTTGAACCATGCTTGCCCCATAATTACATTATTTCATACCAGATTATCCACTCTTACTGTTAATCATAATATCCAAACCCTTTTACACTTATTTAGACAGAATATTGAGAGTATGACTTATATTAAACACGAATTGTATCACATTCAAATAAATGTAGTCTGAAACAGCAACAGTCAATATATTCTATTACTTCCCTTTGATTGTAAAAACAATCCAAAGAGTCCAAAAAGGTACATGTTTAATGCTTGTGTATTGAAGAGAATTTTGTTCCCTCCAGCAATGAATGCTTCTTCGCCAGTGGTGAAAATCTTATTTCTACATTTATCTTTATCTCTGAATGAGACTGTAGACTTGGATGTTGGGTTTTACTAAATCATCAATCCTGCTATATTGAGAATTGAAGGCGGAGAATGGATGTGCAACAAGGTCCAAATTAGCACCTTAAATCTTTGATTATGATCCTACTGCTTAAAATTTTTAGCCACTTCTTAAGTGAAATTCAGGGAGATAATTTCAACATAACCTATTAATTCCAGTCTCAAATTGTTAGTGCTAATAGTGAAAGTTTGAAAACACTAATCATACAAAATCTTAGAAAATTTAAATGATTATATAGCAGTGATCTCACCTCGAACTTCATAGTCAGCTTTTTCTTTTCTTCTTCTTTTATTTTCTGGCTTTTTATACTGGTCTCTAAAGGATAGATTGTGATAACAAGTTTTGTGTGAGTTATAGCAAACAAAGTACCCAAAATTAAAAAAAAATAAAACAACTAGAGCCACACGTGGCACAGAGTGGGACTTTGCAAATGTAGCAATTTGCTAAAGACCCTAAAAAAATCAACCATCGACGATAATTAGGTGAAGCACAAGAACAGTCTAAAGTTGATAAATTTTTATTTTTTAGAAGATTCTAATAGGATTAAAGGTCAAGGTCAAAAATTGAAAAATTTTTTATTTCCAAAACCTGTTCCTTTTTTTGAACTATGAAGTGGAAACAACCGAACTCCTAAGACAAAGTGGCTCAATTCATGAGATAATTGTATGCAAAGTTCCATTTTGAACAAACGTATACTTTGCGAGTTATGCCCCTGGCCAAAAATATCAATAATGAGTAATATAACCCGGATGTGCCACGCCCACCTTAATTTTTTTTGCATAGGGTAATTGATATTCCAAATGCCAGTTGTGTTTCAAATTTCAAGCTTCTACATTATTCAAGTCAAAAGATATAGGTCAACAAATGTCAACAAAGGTCAAAATCGAAAAATGAAAATATCCAAATGTTAAAACCCGTTCCTTTTTTGGAACTATAAAGCTGAAACAACTGAACTGTTAACACAAACTGGCCAAAAGGATGAGGTAATTGTGTGCAAAGTCCCTTTTTTTACAAACGTATCCTATCCGAGTTATGTCCCAGCCCCAAAATGTAAACAATTAGTAATTCAACCCGGATGTGCCACGCCCACCCCAATTCTTTTGTCATAGGTGAATTCATATTCAAAGTGTCTAGTTGTATTCCAAATATCAAGGTTCTCCATAAAATAGGTCATAAGATATACATACACCAAGATCAAAAAGACACAAATATGGTAAAAAAAAACTCAAATTTGTAAAAAAAATTTCAATTTTGCTTTAAAAAAGCAATTGTTCTATATCTATATAAAGCGCATGAGAAGCATATTAGGAAACCGAAAAAATTAACCCTCTAGGTTAATTAGGTCACATGCTAGAGCAGTCCAAAGTTGCGAATTTGGCTTTTTACGGATAGCTATAAAACCGGAAGTACATGTCGGAGGTCAAAGGTCAAAGTATCAAATGATAGCCAAGGTCAATGACCTTTAAACCTATGAAGGTCAAGGTCATCAAAGGTCAAGGTCACAAGAAATAAGCTTTCAAACTTTGAAAAAATTCAACCGGAAGTTGTGAAAATGCAAAAGCAAAATTAAAAATCGGCTCGCAACTTTTTGTGAACATTAGACAGCAGATTACATCAACACCAAATTTATGCAGATTTAGTTTATCCCTAAGGACTTATTTTGATATTAAGAAAATTAGAAAATCAAGATGGCGGCCAAAGTATCACTTCCGGTCTGGATTTTATATTCTTCGTTTTTTTGTATTAGCATTTACTTACGATCAGCATAAATTTCGTTGACCTATTTCAATTACACCGGAAGTTATTTGACCGCAAGTGGATTGTACTTTCAATTGATTCCCCGTTTAAAACCGAAAGTAAAGGTAAATATTTGACAACTACATATTATTTACTTTAGTGATGCCCCTTTGCATATTAAATTTCAGATCAATTGATGCAAAAGCAAAAAAGTTGCAAAAATATTGAA